GCATGTGAAAGCTGGAAAATGAATAAGGAAGAATTAATGTATTTGAATTATGATGTTGACAAAGAATACTGGATATACCATGGAATGCCAGAAAAATTAACAGATCTAACTCAGAAATAAAGACAGTCTGTTCCTTAGAAGCAAGGATGGTAAGACTTTGTCTCTGGTACTTTGGTCATGTTAGTAGAAGTGACCATTCCCTGAAGAAAATTACGCTTAGTAGAAGGTCAGGGAAAAAGAGGAAGACTATCAAAGAGATGGATGGTCACAGTGGCTACAACAATGGACTCGAGCACAGCAACAATTTTGAGGATGGCACAGGACCAGGCATTGTTTCATTTTGTTGTACACAGGATCGCTATATGAGTTGGGAGCAACTTGATGGGACCTAACCACCACCTCTACACCACAATCATACAGCAGAGATTACTCAAGTTCTCTAACCAGTGGAACTCATAGAAAGAAGCGTTTAACTTTAGCTATTTTCATTAGAGTAATCATGAAAGGATTTGGTGAGAAGATGGAATTTGAAGTAAGTCTTAAATGACTGAGTGGAAATCGTGAAGGGGCATCTAAAGATACAGAATGAACAGGGCCCAGGAGAATGAAAATACAACGGTTCTGAGAACACTGCAGAAATAAAGTTGGAAGGCAAGTCGGCCCCAGAGGATTAGGGCCCTGCCTGCCACACTTAGGAGTTTCACTTACCTAGACTGGAAAAGTTTTTTCAGTGTACTAATTTTCAACTCTTATTTTTTAGTAGTCACTCTGGTGGTCATTTAAGGAGAGGATTCAAGGAATAGGAATTTGAGGCAGGGAGAACAGTTAGCTTAGGAGAGAAATGAGGTCTGACGTAGGAACACATCAGACAGAACTTTGAGTCACATATAACCCTGGACTCCTGTAATGGGTGGAAATGACAAGGTATGGTGACCAGCATGGGGAGAAGGAATAGCGAAAAAGAGAGTATGAATTGAAAACGAGAATCAGGTTACTCCCTTGAGAGATGAAAAGGATGTTAATATGACGATGTTATTAACCGTGATCAGGAACTGAGATGATATAGGGCCCTTTTGCAGGGGAAAAGGTTGCTGTTGTTGCTGCTGCTGTTGTGATGTGCCATCGAGTCAGACCCGACTCATTGCGACCCTTCCTTGGGTTTCTGAGTCAGTATCACTACGGAAGTAGATTGCCCAACCTTCCTTCCAAGGAGTGGCTGATGGGTTTGAACCGCCAACCTTCTGGTTAGCAGTCAAGTGCCTTAGGCACTATGCTACAAGAGCTCTCATGGGAAAGAGAACAGAATGGAAAAGGGGAGGAAAGAATATGTGGACTTTTAGGTCACTGGAGCAGGTAAGTTGAGTTACTAAGAAGCAGCTGGATTAATTACAAGAGTAAAGATTTTTATAAAATCAGCATTTAATAGGATAACTGAATCCAATTCCCATGAGAAACTGCTCTGGAGAGTCTCAATACAAAAAGCATATGGCACAGCATGAACCAGTGACAGTAACTGAGAGAGGGGTGAGAGAAGTAGAAGAGAACAGTCCAGCACACCAGTGGAGGGCATCAGGAAGGCCATGTGCTATAGAGAAGATAGGTCTAGCACGATAGTCACTGGATAGCCCCAGCAGGGGAGCTTCCATGAGTGAGTGGTGGGGCCAGAAACCAGACTATAGTCCTCAAAGTAACATCTTTGGTTTTTAACATTATAAAGAGATCTTTTGTAGATTTGCCAAATGCAGTGTGTCATTTGATCTCTTGACTGCTGCTTCCATAGCTTTGATTGTGGACCCAAGTAAATGAACTCCTTTACAACTTACTGGTCTAGTTGTGAGAATTTTTGTTTTTTTCTGTTGAAGGCTGTATAGTCTTTGATCTTTAGCATTAAGTGCCTCAAGTCATCTCCCTTCCAGCAAGCAAGGTTCTGTCATCTGCATTATTTCAGACTGTTAATGAGTTTTCCTCCAATCCTGATGCCATGTTCTTCTTCATATAATCCACCTTTTCAGATTATTTGCTCAGCATACGATTGAGTAAGTATGGTGAAAGAATATAACCCCGACACACATTTTCCCAATTTGAAACCATGCAGCGTTCCCCTGGTCTATTCAAGTGACTACTTCTTGGTCAGTATACAGGTTCTACTGAGCAGTTAAGTGTTCTCGAATTTCCATTCTTCATAATGCCTGTAATTTATGATCTACAAAGTCAAATGCCTCTGCATGGTCAATAAAACACAGGTCAATATCTTGCTAGTATTCTTTACTTTCAGCCAGGATCCATCTGACATCAGCAGTGATATCCTTCATTCTAGTCCTCTTCTGAATCCTGCTTGAATTTCTGGTGGTTCTGTGTTGATGTACTACTGCAACCATTTTTGAATTAAATTCAGCGAAGTTTTACTTGCGTGTGGTATTACTGATATTGTCTAATAATTTTCCTTCTCTTGAATCACTTTCTTTAGAATAGGCACATATATGGATCTCATCCAGTCAGTTGGCCATGCAGCTATGTTCCATTTCTTGACATAGACAAGTGAGCACTTCCACCATTGTATGTATATAAATAGAATGTATATGTATATCCAAATATGTATATATTAAAATAAATATGGGTATAAAGATAGATAGATACACATAAAATTTAATAAAACGTGGAAAAAGAAACAATTACAGGAAAATGGTAACAATTGTTTAAGTGGAGAACATACGGTACTATTATTTCAACTTTTCCACATTTGAAAATTTTTCATCATAAAAAGTTGAAAAGGTTGTTTATTATGCTCTCAATTACATTTTTATAAAAAAATATATATATGCACATTATTTAGTATCTAACTAGAAAAAACATCAAATGTTCACAATGGTCATTTTTGAAAGGAAGATTTATGGATAATTTTGTTTTCCTTTTCATAATTTAATCTGCTTTTCTAATTTTGTACAATCTGTATTGCTCTTAAAGCATCGGAGGAGGAAACCACTAACCTAACTGATACTGCCCAGAGAACCTGAGGCTTCCACCTGGGCTGGAGGAAGAACACAAGACACTCCAAGGATAGAGAGGGAGAACAATGTGGAACAAAACTCAAAATCATTAAAAAAAAAAAAAGACCAGCAATGGTCTTAAAAAGCCTGGTCAAACCCCTGAGACCATGGCCCCTAGCTGCCCTTCATGTCTGGAATTGAACTCACTCCTATGGCTTCCAATCAAATAATAGCCATATGAGCTGAACATTTACATCAGGTAGATACACTCCTTAGAGAGATCCATTGTGGGAGAACAGAAGGGCAGTGTATACACAGGGAGATGGCTTGGGGGGCAGGAGTGCATGACAGGGAAGGACACAGGGAAGAGGGAAATATGGGGAAGAAGTGGGAGGGGAGCTGTTACAAAGTGGGAAATTGCAGTCAATGTCATGAGACAAAATGTGTATCAACTACTGAAACTGCTCTGTGAATTTTCATCCAAATCACAATAAAAATAAAAAAAAAAAGTTCCAAGGATTCTGACTCAGGCTCCGGTGAGACTTCTGCCTAAGAATCTCAAAGGATTTTCTTCAACCAGCTCAATCACAGTATTTCTATGTAGAAAAACAGTAGAGCTCGGCACTGACACCAAATCTGAAAGGAAACATGGGGCTTGCTTATGGAGCAAAACAAAGGCTGGTCAGACTCTGGACTTTCCCACCCAGCCACTGAAGCCAGAAGGAAGACAGAAGCAGGGTAAGGAAGGGCCTGGCATCTAGCCAAGAGTGCCAAGGGTAATTGACACTGCTCTCCCTGAAGGCCCCATGGCCTGGTCTTTGACAGAGCCAATACTGACACTCATCAGTGCTGATCTTATTGGATCTCTGGGCTCCAGGCAGCATGTCAATCTCTGCTGATGTCAATCATTCCCCAAGTTTCAGTGACATATTTCCCAGTTCTTACAGGTCTCTGACTACTCCCTTTCTGTCTTCTCAGATTCCTCTTCTTCCTCTACCCACCTAACTCTAAGAATGGTATCAGATACCATCTACCCCTCAGTCCACATCCTCTACAGGCACTGAACTCAGGTTTCCAAAACCCAGCCAAAGCATAAACCAGCAAGGCATTCAACTTGTCCTGCTCCCTTACCTACCACCCTCACAGCTTCACAGCCAACAGCCAAATCTAGCTGATTTTACCTCCAAATATCTCATCTACATCCACCTCCCCTTATCGCCACCATCCTAGTTCAGATCCTCAGATCTCACTGAAACCACTACAAAAGCCCAGCTACTCCCCTCAAAACCATCCTCAAGACAGAATGTCACTATGAGTGATTTTTCTCATGTAAGTCTGACTGTGACATTCACTGCTTAAAACATTTCACTAGCTCCTCAACAGCTACAAGAAGGAATCCTCACTCTTTATCCTCACATATAACACCTTCCATGATCTGGCCTTGCTACTGCCTCACTCTGCCTACCCCACCTATCACTCCCTAGACTCATCCTTTAAACTCCAGCCACACTGAACTGACTATAGCTCCTCCATATAAACTTTCCTGTTTCTCTTCTCCATGGTTACTCATGCTTTCCCCTCTGCATACAATGTCTTCTCTTTCCTTCTGCCTGGATTTCTTTAGATCTGTTTACCTGTCAGTTTGCCTCTCTATCCTGTGAGCTTCTAGAGGGCAAGGAAAGATTTGAGTTCTCTTTGCATCCACACATCCACAGCAAGTCTTGGCACTGCTGACAGAATTTGCTATTCTGAAAAATCAGCCTTGTATACCTCCCAGAGTAAGAAATGAAAAAACCTACATGCAATTTTCCCCTATTAGGTACATTCCAAGATACTAAAAACATATAATGAATTCTGATTAGCAAATTAGATATAGAAGGAAATCCTGTCTTCTTGGAGTATCTGTGAAAACAGCTAAGCCACAGGCCCATGCTTATCTCTCAGGTTGGCCACCTGCTTTCCTGTCAGAGCAAGTCCTATTCTAATGCAGCAAAGAGAGAAAACACCACTTACCATCATCACTGACGCACTCCTGCAACACAAGTGGGTGATGGCGGGGGAGCTTGCTTAGGGGCTGACGACGACCCTTAGACTTCTTGTTCTCCTCCAGGGAAAACATGTATTCACTGGCAACCTGTGCAAACCATAAGGAGAAATCAAATCAGTCTTGCCTCAACTTGGGAATAGAGCAGAAGTTAGTCTTACAATGAAAACTAAGCGAAAGAGAAAGGCACAGACAGCCACAAAGAAATGTACAGCCAAACAGAAAATATGTCTTAGAAATAGCCAAAACAAAGATGCCATGAAAAGTATCTAAGTTGCAAATATGTAAAAATTTTAGGGTAAAACTTGTGCCTGTGTGATCCCCAACCTTCTTAGAAGCAGCTGGAAAAAAAAAATTATCTAAAAATGTGTAAGTTTAAAGGAGACACATACTCATGGTTATGCTCATGGTTATGAGACTACAACTGAGAGTCCTGAGAAGCCCACATGTTCCTTTCCTTACACCAGCAGGCAAGCAGCACCTGAGTGACAATATGCCAGGGCAGCTGGGCTATCCAGGTCTGAAAGGCAAGAGGAGATCTAACGGTGTGAGGACTAGCTGACCCATTAAAAATAAAATAGGACATCTCTTCCTTACTGTCAGAACCTCAGCTCAAGCTAATACAATTAATTTCTCAGTTTCTTCTTCTACAAAGGAGAACATCAGCCAGGACACAGAGCATGTCTAAGACTCGAGCCTTAGCTGCAGAAGGGAAGGTTGATTTAACACTGCATTTACATAATGTCAAATCAAATATAATTAGTTTTAAGATGGATGGGATTGATTCACTATACTACTTAAGAGTTTCCTTCTAATCAACATATTTAAGACTTGGTTATGCTAACATTAGGAGACATAGGGTTAGCAAAATCAATTAAATAAGGAAATGAGGCCTGGAAGAGGGCCACTTTGCAGCTCTGACAAAAATCAATGCCTCAGAGCCGCAGACAAGTGACAGCACTGCAGTACTACCTCAGAGAAGGACCTAAGGACTACACAGGGAGTGTGACTGAATCCCAAACTTAAGGCCACACTTTGAATGCCACGACCAACCCAAGGCCAAGGCACTTCCAAGTAGTATAGAGCCTGTTCTTCCAAATAAAATCTTCTCAGCAAGTTTCAGTCCATCAGCACATTCATTCAGTAATCATCAGCAATATGTACTGAGCATCCACTGTGTACAAAAGCCTGCCCAGATGTGAAGGAGGCAGAGAGAAATAGACTAACAGGACATGATCTGGTTTTAACACAGAGTGGCACTGACAGCAAGGAGAAACATGGTGGAGGAGTGAGATTATTACGAACTTTTACTATTGCTGTGAGAAGACTTGCACGATCACTGACTTTTAATTGGATCTGACCCACCTCAACAGTCTAAACCATAAATGTAGAAGTGAAAAGTATCTGTAATTCCACCTTCAACAGACAACCTCTGCTAGTCCTTTTTAATTTTGTCTCCTTCTTCCCACCAAAAAAAAACTGCTATACTGCTTCCAGAGCATCCTTCCAAAACATCACTACACTGCTTTAAGAAATCCTTGAATGGACAAACTAAAGGGTGAATTAATAGTTTCTTGAATAAATCAATGGTAGAGGACAAAAAAGGAGAGGGGCACTTCTAAAGGAAGACTTAAGAGATACAATAAATAAATATAAGCTGTGAGCCTGCTTTAATCCTGCTTCAAACAAACCAACTCTAAAATAAACTTTGTTTAGACAACTGGAGAAATTTGATTATGCACTGAGTAAGAGATGAGGCTAGAGTCCCTACAAACAATTAACATGCTCAGCTGCTAATCAAAGGTTGGATGTTCAAATCTACCAGAAGCACTTCAGAAGAAAGGTCTGGCAATCTACTTCTGAAAAAGTAGCCACTAAAAACTCTATGGAACACAGGACTACTCAGCCACCCACAGGATTCCTATGAATCAAAGTCAACTATACAGGAACTGGCAGTAGATGACACTAAAGATGTACTGTTCTATGGGGCAGTTCTCCTCTGTCCTGTAAGACTCACTGTGAGTCGGAATCAACTCAAGGGCAATGTGGTTTTCAATGCTAGAACGTATGATAACATGGCAAACACACCATGTCCACTACAAAATGTGTAAGCATTAGTGAGTCTAGGCCTTAACAGAAGAATTTATTAAAGCACTTGGCCTTTACTCTACAAAAAAAAAGAATTAGTTAATTTTTGTTAAATGTAATGATGGCATACTGAGTGATTTAAGAAAGTGCCCATACAAATGTTTTGTTGTATTTATTCACACACACACACACAAAACACCCATAATTCATTAGAGATATACACTCAAATTGGAAGAAATTATATTATTTGGGATCTAGTTAAAACTACGGGAGCTCTGGTAGCATAGTGCCTAACGTACTTGACTGCTAACCAGAAGGCTGGTGGTTCAAACCCTTCCTTCCTCAGAAGGAAGATGGGGCAATCTACGTCCATAATGATACTGCCTCGGAAACCCAAGGGGGGTCGCTATGAGTCAGGTCCGACTTGACGGCACGTAACAACAAGTTAAAACTACTTCGGCAAATAAAAAGCATAGATGATGCAAATGTGGCAGGTCTTAACAACTTTCAAATCTAAATGATAAGTATTTGTAAGTTCACTATATTATTCACTCAGCTTCTTTGGATGTTCGCATTTTTTAAAAATGTGTTATTTAACTTTTCAACGTCTGGATATTTACGGAGGTAACCTTCCACAGCTCCGCACCCCAGGACTCTAATGTCAAATCCCTTCATAGAGCACACAAGGCAGACCTGTGTCTGGCTCCGGCCATCCTCCACCACCACCTCCCATGGCCCTTCCAGCCCTCTATGCCTATGTCAAACGAAACCACTGCAAACCTTGGTGTATGGGTCCATCACCATTTAGAGCACCCTCGTTTCACAATTTCTCTCACTTCATTCTATCCACCTGGCATACTCCTGCTAACCTCAGGACCTAACTAAAATGTCTCCTTCTCTGTAGCCTTCCCTGACTCCTCACCCCAACTGCAACCACTGACCAGGAATAGACTTGCTAGTGTGGTCCTGGCTTGGAAAAACATCAAAATGAAGGTGGATACTGACTACTCCGAGACCAAAGTTTGGGGCTTCACCTCTACTGGGCCACCCCACTCTATCAGTACCCAGGTGGACATGCCCCAGTGCCATGCATGCTCTACTCCCTCGAGCTTCTAAAGCAAGAAGGGGCAGACAAAGGGCTCGCACTCACCCAGCTGAAAAGGAAGTGGGCATCCAACTCAGCAGATGTGCCACTCTCACTGGGGCTGCAATATAATTCTCTAGATCAACAGTCCCACAGAGATCAGAGAAAAAGAGGCTCCAGCAAAGAACAAGCTGAAGAGAGCAAGATGCCACCGGGCTTTCTATTCTGTACAACTGTAAGCTGCAGGACCTGAAGGTCTCTCCTGCCCTCCTGACACCTGCAGCACCTCCGTCCCATCCGTCTCTCCTCCCCTCCACAGAATCCCTTCCCAGGCAGCTCCCTCACCCACACCGCTGCCCAGAGCCCGTACCTCTGCCAGCTCCTGCTCACTGATACTTCCAGCTGCACTCCCTTTCTTCCTTGTGCACAGTTCTCCCGCAGTGACCCTGCCATCCCCTTTGGCATAGCTGTGCACAGTGAGAACTCCAGTCTGCCCTTGAGCTTGGCACGACAGAGGTTCACTGGTTTCTGAATCAGAAGAGACAGAATCTTGTGAAGAACTAGAGCCCAGGCTGGAAGACGATTTCTTTTTGGAATCTGAGAAGACATAGCGTCCCCCTAAACAATCAGGATTCACAGAAAGATCCAAGGCAGCTGCTTCTTGTTCCTCCTCCTCCTCCTCCTCCTCCTCCTCCTCCTCTTCTAGTTTCACGTTTTTGAGCTCTTCAAATTTGACTTCAGTGGAGTCAGAATAATCTGAAATACATATACATGTTAGACAAAGCCAACTTCCTCCTGAACATACAAAGCTGATAAAAGGCAGAGTGGCAAAGCACAAAGAACACAGACTGGGAGTGAGACCAGCTTCTAATCCTGGCTCCATCACTTGCACAATCACTGTGTGGTTCTGGTAAATCTCGAGGCCTCCGGCTTCCTCTGTAATGTGAGGAAACTACCAACCATCTCCTGGGTTGCTCAAGAAGATTACCATGTATAAGACACACATAGCCTAGCAAATAGCAGACACTCAGTAAGTGGCAGCTGCCATTTCCTCAGAAGTCTCCTGCAGGAAACTAAGGCTCAGCAGAGACCTGGCTAACCCAAGCTAAAAAATATGCTGAAAAGAAGCCAGGCCAGCCACAGGGTGCCAAGTCCTTCATGCCGACTCTCTGTCAGAAGACTTATCAAGGTACTATCAACACAGAAGTTTCTTCAAAGCTGACCTAAGATTGAGACAAGCCCCTCTTGGAACAAATCTATGCTCAACACAAGGAGCTGAGTGCCCACTCTAAATACTGTATTTGACCAAAGCACTCCCTCTCTTAAAATACAAGTAACTCCTCAAGGTTCCAAGAGTACAAACTCTTTAAATGGCAGGCAGCCCCTACACTGCATCATTCCCATTTCTTTAGCCTCATCTCCTGATAACATAACTCTCTCCCACCCTCTCACTCCTAATATTCATGTTAAGGAAAACACCTACCAGTCTCCCCAATAAATACTCATTTTCATATCTCCATGCCTTTGCCCCTGCTACTTGTCTCTGGGATGCCCTTTCTATATCCCCTCTCTGTCCACCTGAAGAATTCCTACTTATCCTGTAAGTTCTTTCATCCATCATCTTCACCAAAACCTTCAGTATTTCCCTGGGCTGTCATCATGGAGAGGGAGCAGGTATTTCAATACATATCCCTGGTATTCCCCCATACATCCCTAAACCAAAGCACTCCTCGTACTGTACAACAATTGTCCTATCAGCTTACAGACCTGTCTGTCCTCTTTTTCGTATCAGCACTCAGTATCAAATCTAACTCAGAACAGAGAGATATTAGTTAGGGTTGTGGAAAAAATACCAAGATTGACTAACCTGGGAAGGTGAGACCATCCTCGACTTGCCGCACAGAGCTATGGGTGGGTCTCACAGGAGCGAGGGCAGCCTGGCACTCTGTCATCTCATACTGTCCAGAACTCAGCTCCTCCTTGGGGAAGAGCTCACTCTGACTCACCTCCTGTGGTATTTCAAGACAAACTCGGTGTCTCTTTGTCCCTATACGGTGCTTGGCTAGGCTGCAAGGAGGAGGGCAAACCTTTTAGAAGTCCACATATACATAAGTCCAATAACACAAACACATTCACACACATGCACACACAACGTAAAATGGATGGCCAGAGCCTGTCAGCCTGGGTCAAGCCTCAGCTTTGCCTCTCAGCTGTGTGACCTGAGACAAGGACTTCACTTCTCTGAGGCTATCCCATCATCTGCAAGATATGGATGTCACCACCCACGTTACAGATCTGTTATGAGGATTAAGAAACAGTATGCACAGTTCATGGCCAAGTGCCTGGCATATTGTAGATACCCAATAAATGTTTCTCCTTTCTTTCCCACACGACTCCTCAAAAAGCAAAAACCCTCTAGTTCACACACAGACAACACAGGCAGATGTACATCACACCATCCCCAGCCCTTGTGAGCTTTATCCCTACCACCACACACTCTTTTTTGAAAACAACCCTGAAGCGATCATGAAATGATGTTGACATTTTTTGGCTCAGAGAGTGTCATGCCTTCTTCACATATATGTGACCCTTTTCTCCAGGAGGCAACAGGCCTACACCTACAGATGCTATCATTCCTGGAAAAGAGCTACAAAGAAGCACATGACTACTCTGGCTCCAAGGATCCTGGAACCTCAACAAAAAGAAAACTCCTTCAGCCCCATAGTTCAAACACCCCATTTGGAAACAGCTTCTCTGGTGGTTCTGGAAGCTGCCCAGACTTTCCTCCCTCAAACAGCCAGGGCCAGAAGGGCTGCTGGGTTACCTTCTCTTCAGGTCTCCCTCCTCTCCATCCATGACCCCTTCCATGTCCTCCTCTAGACACTCCTCCTCATTCTCAGCTCTTGGGGACAGTCCACTCTCCTTAAGAAACTCAGCTGCTTCTGGCGTGGGTAGAGTATGGTCAATAACCGTGCTGTCCTTCCCAGCCTTCCAAAGTTTGTACCTTTCTGGCTGGAACTTCCTCACAAACACATCCATAGATATCTTCACCATATCTTTTCTGCAGGAGCACTGTACAAGTAACCAGAGAAATCTCAGAGAAGCTGAGGCAAAAAATACTGGTGTGTGTAGATGTAGCTTTGATGTCTAATGGTCTTTAACCTAAGAAATTCACTTACAATGTCCAAGTTATCTAATTTTTTTTTGTCTCTTTGCTGCTTGTGCTTTTGGTGTTGTATCTAAGAATCCACGGTAAAAAGCTAGGTCCCGAATTACAAGGTTTTCTTTAAGAATTTTATGGGTTTAGTTATCACACTTACGTCTTTCATCTATTTTTAGTTTTTGTGTATGACATCTCATGTCTCACTTCATTCTTTTGCATGTGGAAATTCAGCTGTTCCAGCACCATTTATTAGAGACTATCCTTTCCTCACTGAATGGACTTAGAACAAATCAACTGACCAGAGATGTATGGATTTATCACTGCATTCTCAATTGTATTCCATTGGTCTCCATGTCTATCATTGTACCAGTGCCAGGCTGTTTTGATTACCAAGCTTTATACCATCTTTTGAAATTAGGAAGTGTGAGTCTTTGAAGTGCAGTGTAATTTCTTGGTATGGCCTTTCTAGCCATGGTCTTTGTGACTCCTACCAGATGACTAGGTGGTACTACACAAATGTGAGATGCCTGTGGCCCACCAAGGGTGCTGGATAGCTTGTTAGCAATGTAAATAAGGGGCATGGCACCCTTGCGGGGGTGGGACCATGCAAATAAGGTATATGGAACCCAGAAGAACCCAGAAGTGGGGATTGGTCAGTTTTGCCATCTCACTATGCTTAAAATGAACCATCTCAGAAGCAGAGAGAAAGGATCTCACTAGCATCAACAAAGAAGAGCCAGGAGTGGAGCACATCCTTTGGACCCAAGATCCCTACACTGAACCTCAATCCAGGAGACAGAGGGGGAGTTTTAACACTTTGCTGAGACGGTGAAAAATGGCATGAAGCCGTGGCAGAGTAAGAGCAGCAGCAGAACCAGACCAGGAAGGAGACAGCACAGTGGGCTTGCTGGCCAAGTAAGGTGCTTCTAAGCACTTAATTAGCAGAGTTAAGAGATTTGTAATACTTGACCATGCAGGGTAGAGGCCAAGAGAGTGCTGGGATGGAGGCCAGAGATACAGGTGCACTCTGAGGCACTGCTGATAAGAGGATTTTATCCTGAGCATTCCTGATCCTGAACTCTAACCTGTTGTTTTCCTAATAAACCCCGTTATTTGTGAATGCTGTCTGTTGAGTTCTGAGTGGCCACTGCAACAATAATCAAACCCAGCAGAGAAGTACAGAGTACCATGGCAGAAACAGGTGGTGTCAGAATTGGTAAAAAGGTTGGAGGATAGAGGTATGTCTGACCTCCACCTCATAGGAATCAGCCTTGGGCTGTTGATCTTGATCTTGATCTTGATCCTCCTCTCACCTTATGAAGTTAGAGGTCAGACGCTGCCACCCTCATACCATTTTTATAGTCCTCCTACTTTGTTCTTCTTTTTCATGATTGCTTTGGCTATACAGGGCCCCTTGTCATTCCATAAAAATTTGAGTATTGGCTCTTCCATTTCTGTAAAGAAGGCTGTTGGAGTTTTCACTTTATTATGTCCCAAATATGAACAAATTTTTTTCAACTCTTTATGAACACAAAATTTTGGCACTTTTGCACATTTCTGGCAACTTTGCTTCTGAATTCCAGAAGTTCAAGGAAATGTTCTGATAACCAAATAGTATGCCTAACAAGCATTTGCTCAACCAGACTTTTTCTGTCATGGTGTTAAAGAAAGAAATCAAGAGGTCTTACCAGCACAGCTTGTTTGCCATATTCAATCCACCTCCGGGTAGCAAAATTGGTAGATTCCGCACAGTTGAAGCCATGGTTAAAGCCAGCATGATAACCATAAGGGAAAGTGATCATAAATTCTCCAGCTTCTTGAGTCACCTGAACAAGAGCAGACTTGAAGTAACTGCATCAAACAGCAGAAAGACTACAAGAGGTGGAATCCAGAGGCCTGCTCTACTACAACTTAGTTGAGTAATCAAGAATAAGTCATAAATCCACCGGAGTCTTAGTGTCATCTTCTGTAAAATGTAAAGCTCTTAACACATCAGATGCCATGACTCTAATTAAATACATCTATTCCTCATTTGGGAGCTCTGGTGGCGTAGTGCCTAAGGCATTTGATCGCTACCAGAAGGCTGGCAGTTCAAACCCACCATCCACTCCTCAGAAGGAAGGTTGAGCAATCTACTTCCATAGAGATAACACCTCGGAAACTGAAGGAGGGGTCGCTATGAGTCAGATCCGACTCAACGGCAGTGAGTTTGGTTTGCTTTATTCCTCGCTTATTAACTATCTCATTACCTGACATTTACATTTGTGACAATAGCAAAAAGTCTACTATTTGACTATTTTGCACATAATGATGTATGTCTGGCAGTAATGAACATCATGGCAAGAGTAACACTGGCTGTGATGGTTAGCTTATGTAACAACTTGCTAGGTCAATGATTCTAAGTGTACTGACAGTTATATAATGATGTAATTTGGCAGTTGTGTAATGATGTAGTCATCCTCTATTTTATGATCTGATGTGGTCCATTTTCACATAATGCCAATTTTCACATAATGACCTGGTGCTTGGAACCTAACCACATGGGTAAGTGAGGAGTGGGTATATCGCTCCAAATTAACACTGTTCAAGGGAATCTGACTCTTCCCTGTACAATGGCAAGGTACAGTATCCCACCTTTTATACCCTTAGATCAAAGTATTGCTATATAGTTTAGCTTTGGCCCACACCTGACATGTGCTGTTGCTGTTACGTGCCGTCAAGTCAGCCCCAACTCATAGCGACCCCTCCTTGGGTTTCCGAGGCAGTATCACTACGGAAGTAGGATTGCCCAACCTTCCTTCCAAGGAGTGGCTGGTAGGTTTGAACCGCCAGTCGTCTGGTTAGCAGGCAAGTGTCTTAGCCACTATGCTACCAGAGCTCCCACCTGACATACACTAATTAAAAACAATTAAGGATCTTCTGCAAAACAGACCAGAAAGAGTGATTTGTGTGTAAGCTTGACTTCTGTATACGCAATCAACTCACCTTGTCAAAGGGAATTCCATATTTCTTCAGCATTAGAGGAGAAATCAGGGTCATCTTATGCCTGAGAAAAGCCTCACAGCTTTGAGCACTTCCTGGGAAAAAGCCTGTTTAATTGAAAATGGGCATGGGTTAATTCAACACACTACACTGGACAAACCCAGAGTCAATTATTCACATCTGGGGGCTATTCTGGAAGACAAGGAGGGTGGACTACCAATGTGATCTCCAAGGATTCTACAATGAGCCTGAAGGCACTCTTCTACATAGGGTGTTCCATGGGAAATCAAATTGCTAGGCACTGAGATCATACAAGCTGCTTTCTGTCCTTACGAACAGCTTTAAAACTATTTAGAACCTTTTTGCACTTCCCCTGTATGTTCATCTTTCATTAGTATAAAACACAACTACAGCCTAGACCACCAGGATCACTTAACACAGACTCTGTCCAAGTACAAATCAAAGTTCACGTAAAAGAACCAAAGTTTAAAATAATTCAATTTTGACTTTAACATTTGTCTTATTGGCAGAAAAAAACCACACTCAATCTGATTGATGTACTCTCCCTGATCAAATAAATTGTGCCTGATAATACAAGAGAGCCAAAGAGGGAATGTTTGAGTCCTTTCTCCAGACAAAGCAGGGAAAAGGCTCTGATTTTAGGTGTTCTGCTAGGGCACCCAATCTGGCAGGATGGCTCATTCTCCACCTGCACGCCTGGTGTCTGTTACAGTGCTGCTGTAACAGAATAGTACAAGTGGTCGGTCTTAACAAATGCAACATGCTTTCTCACGGTTTAGGAGGCTAGAAGTCCAGATTCAGGGTGCCAGCCCTCGAGGAAGGCTCTCTCTCTCTGTTGGCTCTGAGGGAGGTCTTGGTCTCTTTGAGGTTCTGCTCCTGGGCGATCTTCATGTGGCTTGGTATCTCTCGTCCCCCATCTCTACTTCTCTAGCTTGCCTATTTTAATCTCTCCTATATCTCAAGAGATTGACTCAAAATACACCCTACACTAACCCTGCCTCATTAATACAACAAAGACAACCCACTTCCAAATAAGGTTATAACCACAGGCATAGAGATCAGGCTTTACAACACATATTCTGCAGAGACAGATTTCAATCCATAGCAGCTGTGAAGAAAAACACCATACTTTAGAGCTGTCCATGAAGCTCATAGGAGAATCCAATCCAGCATATAGAGAAGACACAGTACCTTTGGCGAGCCGCTCCAGCCGTTTCCCATGCTCTGGGGGAACAGAGTACCTGTAATCACAGAAGACCATTAGAACCTGAGCAGGGAACAGGCACAGGAGCTAAAGGGTTGTTTCCACTCAAGATAAATTAAAATACCAGACTTTTTTAACTTCCCAACCACAAGAACTAGAAAGCAATCTGGAGATTAAACTGGGGAGAGGAGTAAGGAACCCACACAGAAGTGTGAACGAACTTAGTCTATGCATTTTATATCTGTTCATTTAATAAGACATTTATTGAATATTTACCATGAGCCAGGATTTATGCTAATTTATGCTATGTACTAAATGCTACTCTCCTTTATGATGATGTTCACTCTGTAAGATTTATAAAAAAGGAATGACAGTATTATATAATCTCAGTATTTTAAGTGTTCCTATACAATAAAAAGACCTAATAGGGGTAGCATGGAGAAAATATGGAGAACAAGGTGAAAATTGATTAGATTCTTTAGAAACCTGGCCTCAGATATGATCATAAACCCATTTTCCCGTCTCCAAAACAGCTACCCTGATTACCTAATAACTGATTACTCCTCTAGCCAGTAGGGTTATCTAGACACCATACAAATGTTCTTCTTTAAAAGAAAGAGGAAAAAAAAAAAAGCCTCAGATTACTTAAAACTTCTGCAAAACTGCTGAACTTTCTACTTTCAAACACACAGTAACTCTATTTTCACCTTTAAATCTATTCAAGAGTATTCCACAGTAACAATAAAAACTTTCCATCCCAGATAGTTTTGCTACGGGGGGAAAAAAAAAAGAGAGGAGAGTTGAGGAAAATGTTCATCACCTGGAGTAATTTGGAATCCATCAGACAACCTTGCACAGAAGTCTCTGAAGGTCCCATTTCAGATGACCTAAAGAAGATAGACCTGACCCAAGCCATAATATTTTCAACCGCCTCATATGTATGCAAAAACTGGACAGCAAATAAGTAATACTGAAGAACCACTTATGCCTCTGAATTATAGTGTTGGTGAAGAATGCTGAATATACCAGGGACTGTCAAAAGAACAAACAAATCTGTCTTGGAAGTACAGCTAGAATGCTCCTTGGAAGCAAGGAGACCAAGACTTCATCTCCCATACTTTGGTCAGTCATGTTATCAGGAGGGACTAGTCCCTACAGAAGGACATCACGCTTGGTAGAAGGTCATCGAAAAAGGTTAAGACCCTCAACGAGATGGACTGTTGATGGCTATAACAGGCTCAAACATAACGATTCTGAGAATAGCATAAGACCAGGCAGTATTTTATTCTGTTGTACACAGTACAGAAGCTCACTGTGAGTCAGAACTAACTCAACTGTACCTACCAATGAAAACCGAAAAAAAAAAAAAGACCCACTGCCATCGAGTCGATTACAACTCATAGCAACTCCTATCGGGTTTCCAAGGTGGTAAATCTTTATGGAAGTAGACTGCCCAGTCTTCCTTCTGCAGAGTGGCTGGTGGGTTTGAACTGCCAACCTTCTGGTTAACAGTCAAATGCCTTAGGCACTGTGCCACCAGAGCTCCTTAACAAGTGCAGGTAATAAGTAGAAAGCCTTCCCTCAAGGTGAGAATGGAAATCCAATTTCAGGGAATTCTAGAGTAAACAATGATGAAGAAACAAAAGCTACTTTTAGAAATCTACCCATCTAGGAAGGAAATGGGTAGCAGTTACAGTGTAGTCACAAAGTCAAAAAGTATTTTCCTCAAGATTAGCATTTGAAAGAAGAAAAGGAAAAACCCCTGGAAAAGTAGAAGAAGCTCGGATATAGTTTGGAAGACTCCCCATGACCCGGCCCATGGTGTTCCTCTGGCCTTATCACTCATTTCTCACCCTTATACAGAGCACTCAAACCACAATGGACACCCTACAGTTCTCTAAACACATGGTACTGTCTCTCTCTCAACTTTAGCTCTTTGTATGTTGTTGCACCTGCCTTCCCCCTATGTACCAAAAAGGTACCGTCTCCCCTCCTTAAACCTATCACCACTCCACCCAGCCAATTCTTCATGCTTTTAGTCTCACTCAGCTTAGCTGTCACCTCTTCCAAGCCTTCTCTCAACCCTACCCTACTCCTTCCTATGAGGATCTGTAGTACCTACTGCTTCCCTGTCAGAGCTCTTCTCACACCATGTGATCATTTTCTCACGCTTTTTACTTTCTCCCTCCTGACCCATCACCTAGCTGTGTGTGGGTAGTTATCTCATCTGTCTTACTCACCATCATGTGAAGCACCTTCAACGAAAATGCTGACACTGACAGATGGATGAGCCCAGGGAGAGAAAAAGTAACAAACTGTTGTCTCCTCAACTAGACTGCTAACATCCCGGAAAGCAAGAAGCATATATTGAGTAGCTCTGCATTCCCTCTGCTCACACCCTGCTGCATTCCAAATATTTTTTCTTCCATGAGGAAAAGAAAGTTTCCTGTCACCTCAAAGAGTGACTCCAGTTTTGGAAGTCTGGCTCGAAAAAATCCCTCAGGCCTATTCAGAAAAAGAAATTAGAAAACAGAGGGACAGCTTGGAATAGTTTGGGGCTTTCAGTCAACTTATCCTTTCACAAAATGGTATGAAGTGCCCTGCTCTGTGAGGCCTTGCTACTTAAAAGATGGACTAAGCACCAGAGCTCCGACAGCAACTTTTAGTTTGACAGCTTGTTTCAAATGTAGAATGCCAGCCCCCACTCCAGGCCTACTGAAGTAGAATCTGAATTTCATAGATCCTCAGATGATTCCTATGCAGATTAGAGTTGAGAAGTCCTGCACTATTGTCAGAAAGCCCCAATGAACTACTGGCTGACTTTACCAGGACTTTGGCTCTCCGAAGTGCAGGTAATTGATGCTATACAGGTCCATGTCTTCAGTATGCCAAGCAAAGGACGTCTTCCACATGCCGAAATATAGGTATGGGGTGTTCACACCCTCAATAGTGATCCCACTCTCCTTTTCCACCAAGTCCAGGATTGTTCTCAACCGGCCAATATTCCACTCATCAACATGCTACAAAGGAAATGAAGTAATAGGCCATGGCAGGTTACATCTGAATATAAAGTCAGGCACTGAACCTACAAGGTATGCAGGACACAGGTAAGCTGTTACCTCTAACACAGTTGCGGAATAATGTCAAACAGCAGGGACATGAAGACCACAGCACCCCTCACTCACTTTTCACAGCCACTACTGAAACTGAGGCCACTTTATCTCTGGAGGGCAAGTACCATTTTGTGAACAATGTAAGTTTATGGAAAATGCTAAGGATATAACAGCACCTGTTCTAAACCCCAGAAAGAAGTATTAGAATCAAAGCCAAAGAAAATTAAGCCAAAATAGGAAAGAACTCTTACGTTGTAAAAAAATACAAAACATAGGAATTAACTCTATTTTTATAGCCCTAATTTCCATTGGCCAGTGTCTTCAGTTAAAGTCTACAATGTCACCCAAATCCTTTTTCTGAGCTGTTAAGTACATTCTGGGTAATTCTGCCCAACTTGTATATGTCCTACCCCACATTTTTATAGTATCTTCCTGAAATTCATTTCTGTAAGCTTGACTTCCCACCACCTAGAAAAACTGTTACCAACAAACAGGAATCTACTTTTTAAACTCTTCCCCTCCAATTATTGATAAAAACATTCAAATCAACCCGAGCAGTAATTCCTGAAATGTTCTGCAGATTTTCACTCATCCAAAGATAGTCCTAATCATCCCCTCATCTGCCACTTCTCAGGTACTTCCTTACACTGAAAACCACTATATCCTAAGGCAACGCAATTTTTAAAAACAGCTTTTGCTACAAAATCTTGACAGATTCTGAAATCCAAATACATTTCTCTTCTTAAATGTATACCCCTCTCAATAGATTTGTCAGTGATCTTTTTTTTTTTGAAGAAACCACATTGCCTCTCCCCCAACATTTCAATTTCTGTGATCCTACCCTCTCAAGGGCTCATCAGCTACCACCCACAGATTATGCTAAAAGCCCTTGAAAAGAACACCCCATCATTCAATTCACATGTAGAGTGGGAGAAATAAAATTCAGTCACATGTAAAAATACCCACAATTAAGTGAACACAGTACCCTCAAGTGCTGGTGGAGCATTCAATTGTTCAACCACCCATTCACCACACAGTTTTTAAGTGCCTACTATGTGCTTCGCTTTATAAAAATGGTTTTACAACCCAAAGTTACAAAAATGCTGCACAGAGGGTTTCCAATGAGTCTCACCTTTTCATAGAGAGTGCCATTCACATCTGCACCATAGATTGGGGGATTAAATGTGAGATTTTTCCAGTATTTCCGCTCAAGCTCTTCAAACTCACTGTAGCGAGGGGTACAGTACCTTTCAAAAAGCAAGAGTGGAAGTATTATCTCCTAATAAAGGAATTAGACATAAACAGTGTAGGTATAAGCCCTTGTTATAGAGACAGGAAGACATTTTAAATGAACACGTAATTTTGACTTTTACAACTCTAAACCACTCCCTCAATATCCCTTCATGTGCTATGGGCTCAAGGAAGATGATAGACACTCAGACATAAACTCATCTTCATCTTCCTTAAGAAGCAAAATATCCTCAACTCTTTAAAAAGATTCTATTTAAACTATGCCCTGCTAGGAGTGGCCTGGCCACCTGGAAGAAAGAGGGCTTACAAACGTGAGAACCAAGAACCATGAACCCCAATATATCCACATACATCCAAAATCAGCCATATGTGAAAAGCTGAAGCCTCTAACTGCATTCGGTTCCCTGTACCAATGTAAAGGAATCTGTTCCAAGAGGGCTCATTTCTATGTTTCACTGCTACGTGCCCAGCACACTATGTAATGGCACTCAGCAAATAATCCAGCCTAAACTACATTAAGAAGCTCTGGTAGCATAAGGCACCTGACTGCTAACCAGAAGGCTTGTGGTTCAAACCCACCAGCCACTCCTCGGAAGGAAGATTGGGCAATCTACTTCCATAGTGATACTGCCCTGGAAACCCAAGGAGGGATCGCTATGAGTAGGGTCCAACTTGACAGCAAATAATAACTACGAACTATATTAAACATTCCTAAAAATATAATTTTTACATTATGTACAATTTGTACATAATAAATGCAATATTTGGGGAACCCTAAATTATCTAAGCATAGATAGAGATATATAGATATCCCCTACCTACCTGTTTTATAAACTTGGATATGCAACTACTGAGTTTTATTAAAACTGGTTGGAATGTAGATAGAAATCAAGGGTAAAAATCTGTTTTATTTCAGAGTGAAGGGAATAGGCACAGGACTGGTGAATCTACAAGGAAAAGGGGTATCCTGGAAGAAGGAAAAGTCTAGTACATACTGGTAAGAAGAGAAGACAGACAGGGAGATAAAGGCCCCAGAGAAACAAAATGCAAGTATGACACAGATGAAAGGATGACACAGCCTTTCATCTACAGAGCACGTCACCCTTCCTCAGCAGGCTTTTACATAAATTCTCACTCTGAATAACAAGGAAGCTAGCAATATAAGATATTTTAAGAGTTATAAATAAGTCTAGAAGATCTCAATTAGAATTGTGGTAAGTCAAATGGAAATAAAGTAAAGAGTAGAAATAGGAAAAGCAAGACCTGATGAAAGAGATGACCAAGCCCATGAAGTGCTGCCCCTGAAGTATGAAGACTGAGAGCTAAAGATCCGTGCACTTGATCACAGTGAGGATCTAACGTGTCTGACTGGCCGAAAGCAAGACATGCATAGACCAAAAAGGCTCAGGAAAAGCAGCACGGGAGAAGGGAGCAGGAATTCAAAATTAAGAAGCAATGTAAGAAAGAAGATTCAAGAGGATTAAGAGGAAACAATCAGAGCAGAATGAGGGAAACACGATTCATTCTCTGTGAATCTAAGGTAAAACAAATGTTAAATTTTAAAAGCAGCAGAGAAAAACAACTAGCCTAAACAAAGGAAAGTTTCTAAAAGATGAGAATATACAGATGATAAAGAACGGTGTGACAGGAAACAGTCACGGTAGTTAATGCACATTTGGTTAATCTCAAAACAAAAATGGGACGGCAGCTAAGTGCATACTGAGGATTCTGAGCATGACAGAAGACAGAAGGATCCTGAGAAAAGAAACAAACTGAAACTAAAGCCACTTTCTAATAAGTAGATATCAATATATCTCCAACTTTCTCCCTTGCAGTTGAGAAACTTACTGAATAAGAAAAATATTCCCCTTTTAACAGAAAACCAATGGGATAACTACGTAAGAACACGAACAAGTTTAGACCATGACACAGTACTGAGAGGAGAAAGTGCTCCCATAAAAAGAACACAAAGACAGACAGAAGCAGAACTGAGGACACTGCTCTTCAGGAGGATGGTCAGAGCCTTGGGGACAGCTATGAGGATGAGATGCTAGGTGGTAGATGTTATGACAGGTAAAGAAAGAAACATGCTTTTTACTCACTTATCACTATTGGCTATCTTGCGGAACTCTCGAACAGTCATGGCCTTCTTCTGTATGTTATACTGAGTAAAGAGACCAGACTGCCCAGTCACCAGCTGCTGGATGGGGGCAGGAATGACCAGATCATCAATATCATCATAGGAAGCTCGTGGCTTCCACTCCTTTGGAGGAACAACCTGTAGGGAACACAAGAAACAAAGCGTTAGATCAGAAACCTGCAAAGCCACTCAGAGTCCAGGAAGTATGTAAGCTGCTATCCAACCTAGTCAAGTTTTCTAGAAAGTTACCTTGATTTAACCACCCTCACCCAAATACAGCAAGTCACACTGCCATGCTAACCCTGCTGGCAGTTCCGCCACTAACTAGCTACCTAGTTGCAATGATCTAAGGTAATGATCTCAGCCTCAGTGTATCCTACCTAGGCACCAAGAAAGGGAGCCGAAGAGCTGATTCTTTTCCAGTTTACCTAGAGGGCTGTCTTGAAAAATGAAAAATACGACTTGACTTGGTCAACTCAATACTCTTAGAGTTGCGAGTTGAGAGTTTGCAATATCTTCCTTCTAATGACTTTTTCACCTGTGTAAGTGTATTTATGCATTTAAATAATAGTAGTAATAAACTAGCAAGATAATTAACATGAGGAAAAAAAAAAAGAATGAGTTGGAGCCATATACACATGGTCCCATTTTGTTTAAAATAAACAACAATGTCATATCCATGTATACTTATTGAGTATAGAAAAAGGTGTGGAAAGAGATACTCCAATCAATTAACACTGATTACAATAAGGATATGACACTAGAGAGGACAGATGAAGATCTGCCTTTTCTTTACATACCTCTGAATTATTTAATTTGTAATAGCTAGAATACTTCTGTAATTTTTTTAAATTAATATAGTTCAATCTCAGAACTATTGTGTCCAAGAAAAAGTTACAATGAGGGCCCTGCTGCATCTATCTGCTATTAGCCCGGCAGTACTCTCTGCTTTTAAGAGTAAAGATGCAAATGTCTCAAACCTCAGTGGCTTTTATTTATTTACCTGATTCTGACAGAATATATTAAGGGTTGATTTGACTCAGGAGCAAAAACTAACCCAACTCACAGGGGAAAAAAAATGTATAAACCAGAAATATTACAATATTCATATTGGCTGGCATTCTTCCCTTGAAGAAAGCTCACATGGAAAGTCAAGTTATGAGGGTGTTCAATGAAAACGAAATCAGAGCAAGAGACTTTGGATGGCCTGGGTGCTCCATGACAGCTAAGAAACACTAAAAGCACCCGTCTCTAACGAGGACCGAGGCACCACAGCATTTGCTCCAAGAAACAACTGCTCTTTATCTTCCCTTTTTGGAGATTCCAAACAGCTCTCCTCCTACCTAAAAGTAGTGAAGTGATTCTTCAGATGTTAACAAAAAGAAGTAACCTGTGAGCAGGACAACATACAGTCATCACAGTACCTGGCTTTCAGCAAACCCCAGTTCTTCCGGCCTTCGTTTAGGAAAAATCTAAACTGCTGCCCTCTGTAACAAAGGCCGTGTTGAATGATCCCACCCCTTACCTTGGCTAGCCCAGCCCGGTGAGCTCCTTGAGATTCAATGTAGGCAACGTATCGACTGAAGTTCCGGAACTCCTCCATGGTTGGATAAAAGGTCATTATCCGAGCACTGGGATTCAGGGTTTCTGACTCAGAAGCCATTTCCTCCTTTTTTGAGGTCACTTTGGTGAGGTGAAATCTGAAGAAATTTATATTAAAAGCTTATATAAACTATATAAAACTTAACCAAAATTAAATGCTGGGGATGTCAATGCTGAAAAGAGTCAAAGAAATTCTGAAGAAGCAGTGAAGACAACCAAATGGCATATGCCTCTGGAAAAAATTATTTCAATGAACTTGAAATACAGACAGAAAAGGTTTTGTCTAAAACACCCGATGTATCTAAACCACATGCATTCAAATCTCATTTACATGGAGACACTGTTTCAGCTATAAAAAGAGGAACTATAATTATTTGTGATTATTTGGTTGGTCTTATCTAACAACACTGATGCCCTGCCCATATTTTCCTCATTTATCTTTTCTATTTACTCTCTAGTCACACCTTGCTAATCCCTTCTCAGAGTATTAAACATAAAGTACAACAAGATTTTAAAAGCCACCAATAGGCCCCCTTCTAGGGCACAGCTTTAAAGCAGGATACCAGATCCTTAAGAAAAGTCATTTGCTTATAAACATTACAAAGTTTAAGGGTTAAAAAGTACTTTGATATTAGTAGCATGAGCTATAATTTTTAAAACCCTAAAGTGAAACTGTTCTCACATCTAAGCCAGAATGCACTTTCAGCAGTCAAGCTAGAGATTACTTTAACTGCACTGTACCCAGAACTCAAAGGACAAAATTTTAACAGGTAAAAAACTGGCAATACAGGGCAAACTTCGTAACTGGCTGCATATGATTAAAGAAATACTTTACTACGCTTTTAGATGAGGCCTTCAGCTAAGTGGGTGCACTAGCCAGCCTCTGGTAACACAACAGACCATCTCAAAATGAAAGAACAATGCACACCAGCTGAGTCCATTTAGAAGGAAAACCAGCGTGTCCTCTACTAAACCCCAATCTGGGCCCCAACGCCATGGCTGCCCAGTTCCAAGAGTCCCCTTGAAAAGCAGACAGAGAGCCCCGAGAAGAGGAAATTGCTCCCAACTTACCAGTAATCTAATAACAATTTGGGGAGACAGAATGGAGAGCTGAGAGAGCAGAGAAGACAAGCTCCACTACCTGCATCCCTCAGGCTTCCATGCCGCCTAAAAAATAACGTGCGTTCCTGGCCAGGCTCTTTCCATGCAGTGTGCAGAAACTTTGCATGGCAGGTATACTGTTAACCTCGTTTTACATACCAGGAAATTTGTCTGCAGTCCTGAAATGCACTCCTCTTGCCTACATCCTATTCTCCAGCTAGACTAAGTCTTTTGCCAAAGACAGGTTCAAGTATAGAGTAGCCTGAAGTTTATTCAGTTTGAGGATCCTCTTTAAAAAAAAAAAAAAAAGATATTATACTTTCACAAAAAGATTTTTGAGTGATCAGTGTTAGGGCCTCTCCTCAGGCCCTGGAAGGGGCCCACTAGCTTCATGCATCTTTGGCCCTATTTATTTTTGCATGCCTAAAACCTAGAACAATGCATGGCACAGAGCAAGCACCTGGTAACTTATTTCCTCACTCTCACTTCAATTGCTCATCACCTTTCTTCAATCCTAAATTCCTTTCCCTCAATCTATTCACTGGGGAGAGCTCCTATTCCCTGACACCTTCCCTCCCCCATGCAGTAAAAAAGCTTAGTGGTTCAAGAGCACCAGCTCCGGAGTCAAAACTCTGCCTACAGATCTGGTCTCTCCATTCATTAGCCGTATGATCTTGGCTGGGTGAGTTGTCTGAGTCTCAGTCTCCCTACCTGTAAAATGGGGATCCCAACCCCCTGCCGTACAGGATTGCTATGATTAATTCAGATGATGCAAGCGAAACGCTAAGCACTAGGCCTGGTACTCAATCACTCAAAAAAGGTAGCTGTTGCTAACAACAGTTCGCACCCCTGAATCCTCCCCTCGCAGCTGCTTCCGCGGGCATCGCTCCACAGGCAACTTCCCCCCTCCTCGTTCCCAAGGTCCCAGAACTCACCGGTTCGGAGGCCTGCCCCTCCCGGCCCCGCCGCCTAGGAGAGTGAGACAGCGCCGCAGGAAGAACATAAGGCCCGGTAGACCCGCCCCCCTTGCCGACGTTCATTGGCCATAAGAGATTGGAAAGGGCCAATTATAGGACCCATTTTGAAATCCCCTTCTCCCATTGGCCGGGAACCATGCCTATCACTACCCAAAGAACGAATCATCACCCCTCCCCCACCAGAGCTCACGGTCACGACTACAACAGCAACAAACCTAAAGGATTACAAAATCCTATGATTCTCACCTAAAGCCCACCGCCCCAGCAGGGCTTAAGTCCGACTTTTACTGTCGCCACTTGCAGAGCCTACCGCTTTTCCAGCCGGCGAAGGACGTAACTCCGCCTTCTCTAAAGTCAGCCTCTGCGCAGCCGCACAACACTCAAAGAGTCGCCCAATCCGAAGACCGCCAAGAGATCTCAAACAGCCAATGAGCACGCGATGCAGTCGCCTCAAAGTGCCGGGATATCAATCTGCTCAGCCTATGAGCGCCGGTTCGGGCTGTTGCCAGGAGGAAACGGTGTACCACTCGGGGGCAAGGCCACTGAGCATCTCGGCTGGATCGCGGACCTGGCCAATCATAGACAAGCTTCTGGCCATCCATAACTAATCAGGATTGAAAGAAACGAGTACCTGGAAATGGGATGGTCGGGAAGGTGGGTAAGGGTAATGAGTTTATTGTAGGGTGTTGTTAACGAAGGGGTGGGGCAAAGTATTCTCGGGCTGATTTGCACCCTTGCCTTATGTGAAAGTGTGAATGGGACTATCAAGGGCAGCTTGCTAAATAAAGTCAGGGCGTTCCTGATAAAAATTTGCCCGGGTTTGCCCGGGTCCGCCTTACTTTCCTGGGAACCCCCTGACTCCGGAAAAGCACGACGGTTGGTCACTCTACTTCCTGAGGACTATTAGGAGCAGTTCCTAAAGGGGAGGGAGCCCTGAGGATCATTAGGACAGGTCATTAGGACAGGTCTTGAGGGTAGGTAGTGTCCTTAGAGTCATTAGAAGCAGTTCTTCAGTGAGTGGATTGTGGATCATTAGGAACAGCATTAGGAACAGCTCTTGGGAGGGGAGTGATCCTGGGAGTCCTAATAACTCTAATAGGCACTTCTGGCGGGCGAGGGGGTTCCTAGAAGTCATTAGAAGCGATTCCTGAGGGGTCGTGAGTCCCTTAAGGAACTCCCTGATTGTCAAAGGTGGCTGGGGAGGAAGCACACAGGACATTCTTATGGGTCAAATAGGAAAAGAGAATACCCACAACCAGAGTCATTAAATTAAAAAATAATAATAATAATAAGTACAAAATTACCTGTAGCTGAGTAATGGTGTAGTGCAGTGGAAATAGTTACCAAGTCACACCGATGCTCAAAACCACATGATGAGAGTACATTGACAAAAAGAATGGTGTTACATAGAATAGTATAGACTTGGACCATTTGTGATGTATCTCTTAGGGCTGGGCACATTGCTTCCTGGAAGGAGGAAAACAGGAAAAAAGTAAGAGTTATGTTTCAAAAAAGACAAGGGAATGTCCATTGTGTGGGCAGCCAACAGTCTCACAACAGTTATAAGGTCTTTCTCTCTTAACCTGTTGTTAGGTGCAGTCAAGTCAGTTCTGACTCATAAGGACCCAATGCACAACAGATGTGCAACAGAATGAAACACTGCCCAGTCCTGCGCCATCCTTACCACTTTGCTATGCTTGAGCCTATTTTTGCAGCCACTGTCAAGTCTATCTTGTTGAGGGTCTTCCCCTTTTTAGCTGACCCTCTACTTTACCAAGCATGATATTCTCCAGGGACCGGTCCCTCTGATGACATGACCAAAGTACATGAGATGAAGTCTGGCCATTCTCCCTTCTAAGGAGGATTTGTTTATTCTTCTGACAGTCAATGGTATTTTCAGTATTCTTCATCAACACAGTTCAAATGCATCATCTCTTCTGCAATCTTTCTTATTCACTGTCCAGCTTTCACATGTATATGAGGTGATTGAAAAATACCATGGCTTAAAAAAAAAAAGAAGAAGAAGCAAAATACTATAGCTTGGGTCAAGCACACCTTAGACTTCAAAGTGACATCTTGGCTCTTTAACATTTTAAAGAGGTCTTTTGCAACACATTTACTGAGTGCACTACAACATCTGATTTCTTGACTGCTGCTTCCATGGGCATTGATTGTGGGTCCAAGTAAAATTAAATCTTTTCTCCATTTATTGTGATGTTGCTTACTTGTCCAGTTGTGAATAATTTAGTTTTCTTTATGTTGAGGTGTAATCTATACTAATCTATACTATACTACACTAATATAGTATCTATACTATACTAATCTATACTTTGATAGTCATCAGTTAGTACTTCACATCTTCTTCACCTTCAGCAAGCAAGGTTGTGTCATCTACATATCCCAGGTTGTTAATGAATCTTCCTCCAATCCTGATACCACGTTCTTCATATAGTCCACCTTCTTAGATTATTTGCTCAGCAAAGTGATTGAATAAGTATGGTGAAAGGACAATCCTGACACATACACCTTTCCTGATTTTAAACCACTCAGTTTCCCCTTGTTCTGTTCAAACAACTGCGTCTTGGTCTATGTATAGGTTCCTCATGAGTACAATTAAGTGTCCTGGAAATTCCTTTCTTAATGTTATCCATAACTTGTTATGAACCACATAGTCGAATGCCTTTGTATAGTTGTTAAAACACAGGTAAACATCTTTCTGGTATCCTTTGCTTTCAGCCAAGGTCCATTTGACATTAGCAATTATATCCTTAGTTCCATGCCCTCTTCTGAATCCAGCTTGAATTTCTGGCAATTCCCTGTCAATATATTGCTGCAGCCATTTTTGTAATGTATTAGATAATAGATTATATTGAGTAACTCCGAAAATTATTAAGAGTCTAAATAATCCAACTTGGAGGATACGTAACAAGGAAAATCACCCCAATCATCCAGCAGAATTGATTCACTACCTTTCTTTCTGCTGAGCATGCCCTAGACATGCATACATTTGCTAGCACTGCTGTCACTGCCAACTGAACTTGATCTTGCTACATTTCCCACTGCTGCCAAAAAGGATTTTCTAAGATCTCTGCCACTTTGTATCACTAGTTCCCAACTGGTGTGTGTGGACATGATGGGTAGACTCTAGATCAGGTTCTCTCGACCTCCTCCAATTTACCTCAGTTTCTCTTTTCAGCTTATCTTTCTCTTCCCACCCCTTAAATGTTGATATTCTAAGCAAAATGAATCTATAGTCAAAGTCGTGTTTAACTTTTGGTGGGGGGGCAGGGAATGATAGAGGGATGCAAGGAAGGTTTCTGGGGTATTGGTAATGTTCTATATCTTGACCTGGATGGTGGTTACACTGGTATGTTCATATTGTAAATATTCATTGAGCTGTACACTTTGAAGTTGTATATAACATTTAATATACATGTTATACCTTCATTTTAAAAAGAAGGAAAACATGTTTTCTTCTCTCATTCTACAAACTTTCTTTGGGTGCTTTGGTTCCATAACTCATTAGCTGTGTGAAAGAAAACAAATTACTTAATTTCTCTATTTCTTAGTTTTGTCCAAACTAAAATTGGAATAAAAATAGTACTTTCCTTTCTTGGTTCTGAGAATTAAATGAGATAATATAGGTAAAGCACTCAGAAGTCTAACTGCTATGTAGTAAGTGCTTAGTAAATAAATATTAACGGTGATGATGGTGATGATGCTAATGATACAAAGCACTCAGCATAGAGCTTGAAACAAAACTCAGTACACTTCCGCTTTTAGGCATCACTAAGTTATGTATGCTGATGACACCCATTCTATGCCCCAGCACAATTGTCTCTCCTGAGCTGAGATCCTTACACCCCACTGTCTCTGAGCCCCTCCCCCTGGATGTCCTACAGGTAGGTACCTTAACCCACATGCCCAGAAAAGAACTAATCTTCTCTCACAAATGAGCTCCTTCCTAGGTTTCCTATCTCAGCTGGTGGAGCACCATCCACCCAATCACCTAAGCCAAAAACCAGCATGCATGTCTTTGATCCAGGCCCTTACCTCACCCTGTAGGAGCTCTGGTAGCATAGTGCCTAAGGCACTTGACTGCTAACCAGAAGGCCGGTGGTTCAAACTCACCAGCCACTCCTCGGAGAGGAGGTTGGGCAATCTACTTCCATAGTGATATCCATAGTGATATCGCTTCAGAAACCCAAGAAGGGGTCGCTATGAGTCAGGCCAACTCGACGGCATGTAACGACAACAACCTCACCCTGTATAGTATCCCACAAAGCAAGTGTTTTACAAGAGCATGAATTTGTTTACACGTCCATCTTCTCCATTAGGCAAAAGTCTCTCCCAAGAATATCACCTCTGTCTTACTGATAATATCATTTAGGAATATGTTCCAATGCCAGAAACAGAAACTCTATCAGCAGTAGCTTAAGCAAATACAATGTTATTTTTCTGACATATAAGAAGCCTGGAGGTGGGGATTTGCTAGCATTGACTCAGTCCTCAATAAAGGCATCAAAGATACACACTCTTTCCATCTTTCTCCATCATCTTTCACACCTTGGCTTTGGCTTTTGTATGTCATCTCATGATTGGAAGGACCAGTCTGCTGCAGCTCCAGACATCCTGTCACACGCATGGGGGATAGGGTGGGGAACAGAAGAGGAAAGGGACAATATCAGCAGCACCTATTCTTTTATCAGAAAAGCGGAACACTCCCACAATCGGCCTACCTGTCAGTAATGAGTGAAACAGACCTTTCCCTGCCCTCGTGGTGCTTAAAGTCTTGTGAAGAACATAGACATGAAACAAGTGCCCACACAAATAAATAAAATTACAAATGCTATAGGACCTCTGGTAGCATAGTGGCTAAGACACTTGACTGCTAACCAGAAGGCTGGTGGTTCAAACCCACCAGCCACTCCTGGGAAGGAAGATGGAACAATCTACTTCCGTAGTGATACTGCCTCAGAAACCCAGGGAGGGGTCACTATGAGTCGGGTCCTACTCCACAGCACATAACAACAACAACAACGTGCTTGCTATGGAAGAAAAGAACAGAGGAGAACAACTGTTGGGGGGACTTGCTTGCCAACAGTGGTAGCAAGATTCAGACCTAACATCCTATCATTATGGCATAAAATATACGTCATATTCCTAGTCCGGGGATACTTTCCTGGGACTTCACTTTATGCAGCACCTAACACAATGCCCAGCACATAGTAGGTATCACATAAATAATAATGGTGGCAATAATATTAGCTTAAAAAGTTAAATACAAAAAAAAAAAAGTTAAATACATTTATTGAGCCCTTATGTTCCAAACACTGTGCTA